AACTATATAAATGAATTTAGGAAGTCGTGTGATTACCTTGATATGATTATGAGCAATAAATTGTGCTCGAAACGTCATCAGTAAACATTACTGTATAACACTGTGAGACTTTATCAAAACAAAATTTACCCATAATGGAATTACACTCTACCACAGTGCAGAAGTTTTATTCTTATAACATTTGATGATATTAGATAGTTGGAGGCTATCAGCAGGAAGCCTTGGACCTAGGCTTCGTGTTAGTTGGCACTCATCAGTCAGTAAGGCGTATCTGCAACCTTGAAGGAACTCATGTCCTTTCTGAGATCCGAACCCGCGTCACCCAGTGCTGCAGTCAGACACGTTACCACTGAGCTATTCGGGCTGGCTCGCGATTGACCTCCTGTAGGACTATTGTGGATATTTTGATAGGACACTGGTAGATAGTGTAACATGTCTAGTCCTTTCTTTGGCGAGCTGATGGTGAGCTACCTAGAATAGTGGCCACATTACAAAACCTGGCTGATAGAATTCAGTCTGCACCGAAGAAAGGACTAAGCACGTCACACTAGCTCCTAGGGTCCAATCAAAATAACATTTGTTTTGACAAACAGTTCCCCTACTGTAATCGGAAACCAAGTTAGTAACTAGTAATAATAATAATAAAATAATTTTTCCTTCACATTCCTCAGTGGAACATAGGGCTTAAAGCTAGAGGCTTGAAGTTTCCGCAGCAGTGGTGATTATTTTTACAGGATGGAGTTGCTAGCCTCATGCCCAACCTTTCCTCTTTACCAGAATTATTTCTGGTCTAGCAAGGTAAACGAGTGCGTCGTTGGCTGGGGATCGAACCCCGGACCATGTTCATGGTCGGCGAGCGTCCTAACCGCTATACCACCGACGCACAGTAAAATGCGTCTATTTATTTCTTTGGTGCAGACTGAATTCTATCACTCCAGTAGTTGGCAATGTGGCCACCATACTAGGTGACTCGCCAATATCATTCAATGTGAATTGCTGATATTACACGGTCGGGAGTTGTCAGCAGGAAGCCTAGAAACTAGACACATTATACTAGTTACTAACTAGTGTCCAATCAAAGTATCCAATACAGTCAGCCCTACAGAAGGTCAATCACGCCAGCCCGAATAGCTCAGTAGTAACACCTCTGACTCAAGGGTGCAGACACGCCTTGCTGGCTGGTGAATGCCAACTAGCATGGAACCTATACCGAAGGCTTCCTACCGATTGCCTCCAAATATCTAATTCCTATCTCTGTCTGTCTGGATTCAACATAGAACTCGGCACCGAAGTGCACCACTTCGAGTTGCCATGTTCCAAATAGCACACAGAGGTAGACAAGAAGATGAGTGGAGAGAATCAATACAGTCTGACAAGTATAAGAGTGAAACAGAATGGGTAATGGTAGAAAGGAATATGAAAGATTACAGAGACTGAATACATCTGCACCAGTGACAACGATTTTGAGCCATGTTACTTATTTTCTCCAGCCATTGATTCCTAGAGTCCCGAGGGCCCCGACCGGGAAGTTTGAATCTCTCTACCTGACTCAGTTTAACTGTCACGGATTTCATGGATTGATGAGGCCATGTTTTTGTTTGGCCACCACTGACTCTCACGGGAGGCGATGGTTAGGCATGCGCAGCACGTCACCTAGCCATCTCAATCTATGTAACTTTATAGCCTCGTCGATTGATTTTCCGTCTTTGCCCAACACTCTACGCTTAACGTCAACATTACTTACCTTGTGAAACCAACTAACGTAAGAAAGAGATCGCAGACATCTATGATCGAAAGCAGTCAACCTTTTCATGTCTTCAACTCGTATTGGCCATGTTTCAGAGCCATAGAGAAGTACGGAATAAACTGCTCAGCAGTACACACGTCCCTTGGTTGATAGCCGGATGTCACGCCTACGCCAGAGATGGTGTAAGTCAGCGATAGCAGCTCGAGCTTTTTGGATCCGTGCTGAGATTTTGTGGCCAATCAGTCCGTTGGTGCTGATACAACTTCCCAAATAAGTGAAGTGGTGGTCAACATGTTCTATCACTTCACTCCCTATCACTAAGCTAGGAGTTGACGTAGTCCAATCCTGTAGCAGCTTCTTATATTTTGCAGGGGCGAATCGAATTCCCCTACATCACTATTCTCATACTGCTTTACTTTCCATACAAGATTGTTTATTTTATTGTCAAGTCATATGAAATCACGAACAAAATTCAATTGGAAGATGAAAAGCCACCACGAGGTACTGAGCAACTGTTTCGTCCTAGTCTAGGAATTTCTAACAGGCTTGACCGGACTGCATAAACCCTTCCAGTAACAGAACATCTACTAACGTCAAGGCATTTAACTCTATTTGAAAAATCCTTCAAAGTCATATCCAAGATCCCATCAAACCTCTCTTAGAAGTGAAGTGAAATAGAGCCATTTGGGAATAGCTGAGGTAATGGCGATTCAAAGGTTTACGCCCACGATGCCATATATATTCAAAAGGTAAGACGGATTTCATTAAATGAGATATTCTTTGATATCTTTTTAGTATTACAAAAGTTTTAAACTGTAATTTATTACTTACAAAGTGAAAATATTTTCAGGTAAAAATGTTTACCACATTTTCCCCTTCAGAACCACCCACATATGTATAGAAGTAACAATAAGTCATGTGTGTTTTCCACCAACTTGAATGATATCACACAACAAGAGAGCGAAAAACAAAAACATCGTGTTGTCTATAGGGAATTGTGAAAAGACAAACACCCTACTACTAGGGCGAATATTGAAGCAATTGATATAATTTGTTTCTGTATAGAGACGCATTTAATGTGATAAAGAATGATGCGACCTAAAAAAAATGTTTAATTCAATTTGAACTTTCCCGTTACACACATTCCTGTTCAATTTATCGAACGAGTAACTGAAAATTGGATTAAAACACGATAACTGACACTAACATCTATTGCACATAAGAGGTGGTCCTCGTTACCCAAGTGGTCTAGTGGAAAACGCTTTGGTGTTTGATTTGATGGGTACTAGGTTCGAACCTCAGTGGTGATACCATCCTTGACTGACTCAGTGGGGAATGCAGGTATACCCAGCTGATGAGTCCAAAATAGGACAGCCGAAATGCGCATTCTTTTGGATTCCACTGCTAGTCACTATCCTCAAACATCGTCAAAGTATCCGTTCAAAGAGATGACAGGTCAACCTGAGACCGAGCACTACGGTCAAGTCAATCTACGGGAAAATCCGAATTGAATTAAAGTTGGTTAAAATTCTTTAGACTATAAGCAAATATGAAAAACTTGCTTCTGATGTCAAAATGCACACTTCCGATCTCAAAAACTACTTATCAATTAGTGAGTGTTGTCGGAAATCCAGTTAACCAAAACAGTGTATTCATATAATAGACTATAAGCCAGATTTATATGAACGAGACCAAATGATACTGTTTACTTGCGCATAGTGAGGTAGGTGGAGAAGAATTCGAACCTCGAACTTAATAGCTGATAATTAAGCCCATAAGTCATTGAGAGTTACGTGTCTATCGAAACAAAATCTAACTGATCGGGAACACTTGCAGTCGAAGAATTTCAATTTTTTCACACAATGACCACGATAATTCTCCACATGAATGCAAATCCAATCACTAGACGTATCAAATTAGGTTTGTATTGAAGAAATTATAAAAATGTGTAGTCAATTGTAAGACTACTTATTACTGATAATATAGATGATGAATACAGATTGGAACTCCATCACAGCACATGAAAGAAGACAACAAACAGAGAGAGAAAGAAGAGAGATTCAAAAAGACGACAATAAGCAGGAATGTGAGGGAGGAAGAACAGTAATATGGAAAAACAAGACTCTTCAAACCTTTAGGAGTTTTTGATGTCGCACACAAACCAACAAAATGACTTCACTCAACTGCCTCTATGTCAACCAAAACAATCAACAACGAAAGAAGATAAAACCAACATCACCTACAAAATACATTGCAACGACTGCGAAAATCACTACATTGGCAAAAGTGAACGTCCCTCCTTTCGTCTTCATATCCATGATTATAAACTAGCCGTCAAACGTCATGACGTCCAATCCCTCGCTCATATCGCTGCATACAGACAACCACGGACATCAGTTCGACTGGGTTAACCAACGTTCAAACATTAGACAGAGGAAACACCAAGAATGCTGGAAAATTTTTAGAAGCTTGATAGATATTCGAGTGAATCATCAATCAATAGACACATTCACAGACAAAATTTACCAGTCGACAAGAAGAAAATCTCATATATAAATGGTCAAACTTCAGGTCAAGGAAACAATCAGTTCTAGTAAAAGTGAAAACACACAGAAAAACCAACCACGTTCAAAGTCAGGTGACCAGGAGAGATGACTAATAAACTCGTAAAGAAATCTTAAAGTTCACTTCAACAAATTAAAGTGTATGAGCTAAGGTGAGAATGTTGCCTAGGAGGGTAATGAAAGCTTAGCAAATAAACCATCCAGCTCAGAGAACACAACCACATCAAAAAAACAATAGGGTACTCTTTGGATATGACAGATCACAAAGAGAGTGAATGCATCTACACCATCACAGATAACAATTTTGAGTCATATTTCCAATGGTCGCCAGACACTAGGTTCTTAAAATCCCGAGGACCCCAACCAAACAGGCAGTCTACACCTCTGTACGTGGCAGGCTGGCTTAAAACAACTATTATGGATTTGGTTGATTGATGAAGCCATGTTTTGATTTGACCATCGTTAACTCTTTTCCAGCTAACATCGCTCATTGTGGAAGGCAATGGCTTGACATATGCTACCCGCGTCCTAACACGCTTGCTATATTATACCACTGGACATGGCAGAGAGAGTAAAAAGTGAACATTTGTGGTCAAAAGTAGCCTCATGTCTGACTACTCATTTCCCCTTACATTAGTCCCATTACATAAGAAAGTAATCATATGATGGGAAAAAACGAATAAACTCACGTTTGAATGAAATCCTCCTGCAGTTGTATAGCTTCTTCTAACACCTTATCTGTAATATCCTGCAAAATTAAAATCACACGCTTAATGTAATCTGAATATTGAAAAGCACAGCGAACAAAATAAACCAAATAAAAGTATTCTTAAACGGCATAATCACACGGCCCAAACATCTCAGCGGTAATGTGTCTGGTAACACAGCACCAGATAATGCTGATTCGGAACTCTGGAAGGGCTCCAGTTGCTTCTGCAAATGCTAACAAGGACGAAGAACTCTGGCCCACTCCAAAGCTTCCTGCCTACTGGTTCCAACCACCAAAAACCTGAAAATTAAGATCTTACTGCTTTCCAATAGTAAGCGGAATGAGGCACCTGCACGATGACAGTTATCGACTTCGAGATTAAATTACACCTGGCAAAAATTTTATCCATGGAGTCGTATGATACTTCAGATTTAATTTTATGCTATTTTGAAGAATCTACAACTGCCAATCAATTATAAGGATCACTTAATACATAAGGCGAACACAGCAGATATCTGCCAACAGTGTTAAATATATTATAAACACTAAAATTGGTACAATATAGGCATCAAAAGATACGCCACACAAAATCTCAGAGTTTGTGTGAGGGCTGGGATACTGTCCGGGTGTACAAACGGAAGCAGATGGCTGTCTTGAGGGTTCGTTCCCCTCCCTGAGCCTATGACTTAAAGCTGGATCTACGAGACAATGGAAATACGTTTCCATGGTTTCTGTTAACAAAAACAGGTTTGTACGCTATTCGACCATTTAGGATTCTAGAGCCCATGTACACCATAGGTTTGGAATTAGGGTTTTCCATATCCCCTAAGCAGACCAGTGTACCCACCAGTTCACTTGTAAGGGCCAAACTGTCGCACTCTCCCTCTCAATTTTGGGACAGAACTACCCCACGGTAGATGTGTTAATGGACTTCACCCTAGGTGACTTCAGCGACTCAGGGATTGACTTGCTACCAGGGAATAATCTCGTTGACTTAGAATATGCAGACGATATAGTCCTTCTAGGCTAAGACGTTGACGAAATGCAGAGTCTTCTAAACACCTTGAGCCGCAATCTACGAATGTTTGGCATGCGATTCGCTCCCGCCAAATGCAAGATGGTGTTGCAGGACTGGACTAAATCGACGCCTAGTTTAAAAATAGGAAGTGAAGTGGTTGGTGGAGCACTTTGGCCGCTTCACTTATTTGGGAAGTACCATCAGCCCCAACGGGCTGATCTCTGACGAAATCTCAGCACGAATACAAGGGGCTCGTTTCGCATTTGCCAGTTTACGCCGACTCTGGCGTAGACGAGATGTTCGACTATCGACCAAAGGGCAGGTGTACTGCTCATCAGTCCGCTCCGTCCTCCTTTATGGCCAGCTGTGAGACCTGGCCACTGAGAGTGGAAGACATGAAAAGATTAGCTGTCTTTGATCATAGGTGCCTGCGTTCTATTTCCCGTGTAAAGTGGCATAATAAGGTGAGCAACATGGAGGTTAGGCGTAGAGTTCTAGGTAAACAGTGGAAATCAATCGACGAAGTCGTGAAGCTACAAAGACTGAGATGGTTAGGACATATGTTACGTATGCCAAGTCATCGCCTCCCTCGACGAGCAATGTTAGCGGATATAGGGTCAGGCTGGAAAAAAGCTAGCGGCGGTCAAACAAAAACTTGGCCTCACCAGTCAATGAAATCCACAACAGTTGGTCTAAGCCACGTAGAAAGGTGTAGACTTCCTGACTGGTTGGGGTCCTCGGGACGGTAAAAATCTATGGTTGGAAACAATTGGTGACATGGCTCAAAACCGTTCTCAGTGGCGCAGATGCATCCACTCCCTGTGACTTATGATCTTCAATGAAACTGTTTTGTATTTCTTTATTACTCCTTTGTCTCACACTTCTGCTCACTGTTTCTATTATGCTTTTCTTGTACTTTCTTCTCTTGCTTCGCGTGCTACACGGAATGTGGCGACTCGAACTTCCGCACATTTGTGCAAAGTTCTATGTCGAAAACAGACAGACAGAGACCCCACGGTGTGAAGGAAGCGAACACCTTACCTGGTACAGGCTATTCTGCTAAGAATAAACCATGGGGAACTTTCTTGGACAAAGTTAGTTTTTTGAGAAATAACACTCCTTGTTATGCTGTGACCACTTTTGATTGGAATTATGCAACACTTAGTGATTCTATCACATTCAAACAATTACAAGAAGTAAATGATTTTAAAGCAAGCAGATGTAGTTTGATTTCCTCAATGTTGGTGGTCCACGACTAGACTGAAAACCAAGGTTGTGAGATAGATGAAACAGCTTGATTTCCAACATACAAATTCGACTGCTCAAATATCCATCCAGCAGGTGACTTAATTCTATCAGGATTTCATCATGAGCTGACATCGGTTAGAGAACCACTGGAAAAACCACTGGGAGAAGTGAACACGTGTTTTTTCAGGCTAGATTAAGACTCCTCATTAGTACGCACCCAACCCCTGGATTCGAACCCTGAACCTTCCGGTTACAAGTCAAGCTTGTAGACCATCAAGCCACTGAAGCCCGATCCAATGACCGGTCGATAAATTCCAACTTATGCCAATTCACGAGATAGCGCGACCGTTAGCCAATGCCAACAATGACGAATATTTGTCCTCACACTCGACCTGCTGTACCCTACTGGTCACGAATTCTCACTAGTGGCTTAATGGTCTACGAGCTCGCCTTGTAACCGGAAGGTTCTGGGTTCGAATCCAGGTGGTGGGTGCACATTGATGAAGAGTCCAAAACTAGCAGGACGAAACGGCTGTTCAGTACACTCAGGTCTTCCAGTAGTTCTCTAACCGATGTCAGCTCATGATGAAATCCTGTAACCAATCAAATCCCTACAAACCAACACTTGAGTAAGTTCTGCCAACCAAGTTGGCAACATCCACAGAGAAGGGTGTAGACAATCTGCAAGAGGCCTAAGATACTGATTTCTGGCTTACTGACACTTGTTAGCAAGGCATATCTGCAACCACATGGAAACTGATGCTCCTTCGAAGGCCCGAATCTGCATCCTTCAGGGTTGCAGTCAAAAATGTGGAATACCATACGTGATTCATGGCACGTTACAACTAAGTCGTATCGGGACTGAAGACACAAATTAGAACAAAAACAGACTGAGCACAAATATTATCAATTTCACAACGTAACTAAACACGTCCACCTCAACCTACTTCAAAATAGCACAAAGTTTCATCTTCCCCACCAGTGAAAAAGCCTCCTTCATCTGGACAAACAGCTAGGGACCAAATTCGTCCATCATGTGCTTCATAAACTAGAGATGATGTTTCTTCAGATGGTTTCGCAGAATTTTCATCTTTCTCTGATTTTTTAGACGGTGGCTTGGATAGATTCCATAATCTAATCAAACCTTTTTGATCGCTTGAAGAGATGAAAAATAAAACAAGAGAAAAAAGTCACTTCAAAAATGCATTGATTAAAAAAATTTAACAGATGTGGATCAGTGCTTTAATCGGGTGCTTGTGCCTAGTAGCTGGATTCAGGACGGGGATTTCATCCTATTTGGGACTCGTCAGATGGATGTGCCGGCATCACACTAGTGAGTGATGGTTCTCCCTCTAAGACTAAACCTCGACACACATTATTCCAAACTCAAATGATTTATCCACTGAGCCACTGGGTCAAAAGAGCCACCTTTTATGTCATGCATATGAACTGTTATTTCTTGAAGTTATTTGTATCTCCCACTTTAATGTGGTGGTCAGGCTTCCATACGGCAATGACCCAACAAGCTACACTGGCTGGAACTAACATTCCTGGAGGTCCTACCATATCAGAAAGATTGTTAGGATAGAGATTAAACTAAAAGCAGTTACCATCTTAGCATGAGGTCTGTGGGTCCGTGAGCGAAGTTTTGCTTCTGGGGAACAGGAATGTAGGTGTTTCCCTTAGATGACCAGCAAGTCAGCTAAGCTGTCTTTTCACTCTGGAGAGAGAGGGTTAGAAAAGGGTCGACCCCAAACATTGTACACCCCAACTTACCCTACAGTGGTCGGTAGATGGCGGTAGGTTACTAATACCAAAACAGCTCTAAAATACAGTTCAAATAGGTGGTGGTGCTACCGGCCTCAAGCAGTTGTTTCCTGAGCTCTGCTGTTACGCAATAATAATCCTCTTTTTTTCAGGTACCCCAATAAAAAATCACCTTCCAACCTATGGGCAATCGCCCACACATTTCCGAAAACATATGAAGCCTTACTGATTCACCACGCTCCATTTGCCTGTCATCATCTCACTTCCCAGGTATCAATACTACTACCATCACACAAAATTGAAATGCCATCAGACGGATATGCACTAGAGAAAGACTAAAGATATAATGGATTTAGAAGATAACAAATAAAAGTGAATGCATTTGCGCTACTGACAACGATTTTGAGCCGTATCACCAACTATATCTGACCACTGACTCATAGCATCTTGGAGACTCCAGCCGTGTAGTCTACACCCTTTTACATGGATCAAACATACATTAAAGAGACGCCCTTTGCTGAACTACTTACACATAACAATGGCATAACCAATTAACCAATAGGTTGACTTACCATGATAATACTTGTTTATCTTGAGAAAGGAAGACAGCTTTATACACAGGTTGATCATGACCTTCCAATGTCTAGAATAGAAAATTTAGAGGAACGATTTGAAGGTGTTAAATAAAAAAAAATAAAAAGCGACACACTACTAACCAACGCTTAGGAATCTGTAGGAATAAGCCGGATCGGTTAGTTAGAACGCAAGCTGAGAGTCAAAATTAGTGTTTCTAAGGGTTTATGACACAATCAAAATAGTTCAGGATGAAGTAGGTGCAGTGCGACTCGAACCTGAGACTCATTGGCCAAAAGTTAACTTCCTGCGGCAATCGACTGCATATCTATGGGATTACAAAAGTTGCCGACAAAGTTTGTAAACTACAACCGATATCTACACACATATCAATTGAACACCGATGAGTATTGAGTGAAAGCACACATTAGACATGCCGTTGAGTGGACACTGAATGCGAAGCGACGAGTTAGTCTTCTAACAGTGACATGAAGGCGAAAATGAAAGCAAGTAGATAGTTTGGCAGCCAGCTGACAAGGGAGGAAAGAGAACTGAATAGAATGAAGATAAGCCAGAAAGGCCATATATTCTAATCGAAATGCATAGTAAGATATACACTGGCATTACCTTTTGTCATGTGGCTTTCTCAGTTTTCCATATTGACCAGTGAATCACGTCTGGCCGTGGGAAGGGATTGGGTATAGGAGGAGCCAGACGCCATCGCAGGGTTCTCCGTGAACAACACTATTCGCGGTCTCTCTCGTCGCAGTGATGTGAAACGCATCGCAGGCTTGATCTACAAAGAGACTTTTGGTGTCCTGAAGAATGTCATTTGTGAGGTTGTAACATTTAACGAACAGCCCAAGAAGACAGTACCATCTATGTACTTTGTGCACGCTTTGAAACGCCAGGGTCGATCCCCAGCTGACACGCTCCTGAAGCTCGCCAAGCCAGCAATGAGAATACATGAAAACGTGCGGGATAATGACATGACAACTTATGCAAGTCTTAGAAGTGTCCTTGTATTACGCCATGCTTAATGGAATAAGGTGGAGCCGAACTTGATTTTGTGAGCTGTTGGATGGAAGTCGAGGGCGTAAGTCAATGAGCTGCGCCTCTACGAATCCTGTTCAACTTGATGATGATAATCCGATTTTATAATAATAATAATAACAGTAGCTCTATCCTGAAAAATGCGTTCATACACAATAGGAAATTTTCAGCGAGTTTCATTGCAAGGTATTTAACCCTTGTGAAGAATCTTCAAATATTATAATATTTGATAACATAACATCTGGAAAAAAATATTGATCCCTCAGAACTATGATCCGATGCGGCTCCACAATGTGCTTCCTCCATTTCCTCTCGAAAGAACTCTTAGTGGTAGGTAGAAACTTATTGCAAATTGTGCGCGAGTATAGATTGTGACTCATTGTGGTAATTAGAGCACTGAAACAATATGAAACCATGCATTTCGATGGATAGAAAATGTAAGTAGCCCAGTAATTTAGGTAGACTGACAAAAGTAGCATTTATCGTCACATAATGTCGAAGTTAGGATTCAATATCCCACAACAGATATTTGATATTCTAGACTATAAGTCACATTTCTCTTCTGTAACGGCTGGTGATAGTAACCAGTTGCCATCAAGCAAACATCATATGCTGCAGGAAATGTAACAAACAGAAACAGATATGTTTAGCTACCCTAGCACAGGAAACAGCTCTTACGTGTTCACCCAGTTGAACTAGATCCATCATCTTATGACTGATTACGAATGACGGATAGCCGATTCACCAATCATGCAAAATGTATGCCAGAATTTGGAAATTTACACCGAACTACTTATAAATAATTCAAGTAACATGATGGAATATCAAAAAATAGTCGTATACTTCGATGGCATTCAATCATGACTTACTCTAATGCATGAAAAGTCCTTCAAATTCCACAACTTGACATCTCCATCTCCGGAAGCAGTAAGTACGACCTTTACGAAAATAAAAAAAATGTGAAATTCATCACTTAAAGAAACAGTAGAAGTAAAAGTTTTGGTCATTAACATTAAAGATCAGATATTCACTCTCTTCTCAGATCAAAGGTAGGCTGAGAGCGAAAAGAGATAAACGATTCAGATTACACCCAGCTGGAGTTAATATTAATCCTTTCAAAAGTTTCATACACTCCCGATAAAATATGTGCCATCCAACGGTCACTAAACTATTGGGTATATATATATATATATATATATATATATATATATATATATATATATATATTCATTCATTCATTCATTTATCTAGGCACCACACCATAGTTTCAACTACAGGCGACAGAATCGATTGGGATGTAAAAACCAGAATCAAAATGGAACGGTAGACGTCCATCACTCTTAAATCGGTGTGTCAGTCAGTTCTTTTATATGGTTTAGAAATATGGAGAGAACGGAATGAAGACCATTTCCAGCAGCCAGCTGCTGACTGACTGACTGACTGACTGGTTTCAACATAGAACTTTGCATCAATGTACAGCAGTTCAAGTTGGCACACTCCCCACATGCAGCACACAGAAAAAGAGAAGAAAGTAAAACGAAATGCAAACCAGAGGCAGTGAACAGAGATATGAGACAAAAAGAATGGCAGTAATATCGAAGAACAATATAGTTATATTGGATATTATAAGTCACAAGGAGTGGATGCATCTGAGCTATTCAAAGCGATTTGGAGCTATATCACCAATTGTCCCCAGCCTTCATTGGTTTTTACCGTCCTGAGGACCCCAACCAGTCAGGAAGTCTACACTTTCCTATGTGGCTTAAACTAACTGTTGTAAATTTCGTTTGACTGGTGGCATGTTTTGGTTTGACCACCACTGGCTCTTTACCAACCTGATCACTCCTATGTCAGCAAACATTGCCCGTTGAGGGGAGACCAGCTGCAGACGATTATTATTAACAACTGCCATCGCTGGCTTCATACTGAAAGTCAGGTGGTTGGCTAGAAAGAATTAGCAACATGAAACTATGGGAACAAACTCACCATGAACAATATCATTCAACAAATCATATGAGAGAAAATGGAGATAGGTTAGGCACACGCCTAAATAAACCGTTGAATGATGTCGCGCACTAGCCACGCCATCGCCTCGAGTGTAACATAGAGAAGACCATGTAAAGAGGAGATGACAGACTATGAGCAAACATGAGGCCAGTTGAATAGGACAGCAGGGAATAAGACAAAATGGTAGTGAGTTATTGAAGCCCTATGTGTTCTACTCGTAACCCAAGGGAAAAATAATAACAATGATGGTGATAATAAATTAACTCAACAGTAAAATTAAAAAACAAAAGAACCTTAGAAGTGAACTTTACCTTCTCATGCTTTGAAAAGCAAACTGACCAGACACCTCTACGATGACCTTGTAGAATACCTTGACATTCTAAACCATGTTTTTTAAATTCCCATATCTATAAATGAATAAAAAGTTGTTGTTATTTTAAATTTAAAAATGAAACCATTCATTCAGTGGATGAAAAACTTTTGTAAAATAATGACAAAAAAGATGGCTTTCCCAAAAATAAAAATTGAATTTCCACCACGTTTTATAGACAAGAATATACATTCAAATACTATAAAACGTGACTTATCACCCACACCCAAGTAAAAGTACTTTACATGAGCTTGGAATTCAAATGGGATTTAGCTTCCGATATCACAGTCCCTGAAAAGAACATTCCCTGCTGCATCTCTGAGAATAGCGTTTACTAGTAGACCATTACTGTTCAATAACCTGGAGGAAAACCCTATGTGTGTTTATCAATTCACCTGCTCGTGTGGAGCTAGGGATATCGGTCGTTTGACTCGGGTTTTGTTCAAGAGGGTGCAAGAACACTATCCTACATGGTATTCGCGAAAAGGTGGAAGTGGAGCAATAAGAAGCGCGATCATTGAACATCTGGTCGATAATGATCATCCTATCTCTATAGCCTCCGCCTTTAAAGTCATCTACAAGGCAAAGAGTAATTTACCCAAATCCCTACGTACTCGACTCATCTGTATTGCTGAAGCTTTGGCTATCGAAACAGGAAAGCCAGATCCCTGTGTACAGAAAATGTTCGTTCAACCCCCCCCCTCCAACTTTCATGGTCTTAATCCCTCCTCAATGCTAAAGTATGGTCATCCTCAATCATATTTTAGCTCTACCAATTTTTCATTCTTTCAATTTGTAGTCTTTTCGTTAGTTCGTCAATTGTTACTCTTACTATTCCCAATAAGAATCATATAATAACAAATATGAAGGAACACAATGATTCAGATGTTAACGGGGGGGGAGTACTGCTGAAGTCCTATTTTCAACTCGCGATCTAACAGGAACAATAACAATAATAGTTTTGTTTCAAAACCCAACCACAGCGTCTAAATCCCATTCCTACGTCAGCTAAGATCTCTAGACACCAGTGAATGACTACAAGAGAAGAAAAAAGGGGTTAGTTGTAGACCTTTCAAACTACAAATCACTAAAAATCGTGAACACCACAAACTTCACCTTGACAGTTTTATCCCGTGATGCTGTCGCTACAAGACGATTATCGATAGACACATCAATTGCATTAATTTCTCCACCATGAGCACCGTGTATTGTGGTTAACTCTGATAAGATAGTAGTAGTAGTAGTATCTGGATTATTGAAGTTTTCATCGAATTGAATAGTCCATATCTTTAGAATACCATCATCTGAACTTGATATGAGACGTTTTGTTAACCTGTTAAAGAATAAGCACGCAAGACAAAATTATAGAATACATTGAATGCTACGAAATTGATGTGTTATATTTACATATTGATCTGGCTCGTATATCGCAACGGTGTACGTTGATTGAAGGTTATGTCATATGATATAGAAGGGTCGTAGGCAGATTACAAATCAAGATCATTTTAGGGCGAAATCATGTTGCAACGACAGAAGACAAGGGCAAGGCAACAAATCGTTGAGAAAATCAACAGATATTTATAAATTTTTACAAACATTATTATTAGCGTTATTGTTAGCAGAGAAGCCTCCGATTCGTTGGACAGAACTGTGCTCTGGAACCGTCTGTAAGTATGGTATGTACTTTGCGCTGTCTAAATGCAAAGTACTGTTACAAGATTGGCAGGAGCCTGTACCTGCACTCACTCGTGCGGGTGAACTGCTTGAAGTTGCTGATGAGTTTGTGCATCTGAGTAAGTGTGTGACTGCTGGTGGAAGGGTGACGGGTGAGATTTCCAACCGTATAATGAAGGCTAGGGTGGCATACATCAACTTTAACCACCTATGGCGCCGTCGCGATGTTAGCCTGTCAAAGTTCGCGTATACTATGCTTCGGTGCCGGCTGGCTTGCTCTACGCCTGTGAAACCTGGCCTCTCCGAGCTGAGGATGTTCGGCGACTCTGCGTGTTCGATGATCGCTGTCTCCGCTTGCGTTCGATGGATGGCATCATCGCGTGAGTAATTCTGAGGTTCGGCGGCATGTGTTTGAACACAGTGGAGATCACCATTCATTGAGTGTCGTCATCTGGAAACACCAGCTCCGGTGGCTTGGATATGTTCTGCAAATGTCATCCCAGAGGCTTCTGTATAGGTCTCTGTTCGCTAGCCTTGGGATGGGATGGAAAAGACGGAGAGGTCGTCAGTCCATGACGTGGCGTCGTAGGATGAAGGATTTTTCTGTTAGATTAGCATCGGTTGATGTGTCACGACTCCCTGGTTGGGGTCCGCGAGAAACGTTATCAGGTATGGCCAAGAATCGTAATCACAATGGTGAACGTGTTGCAATTTCCTTCTTTCTTCCCTTCCCGATGATAATTGAAGAATACTGCTTGAACTTGTTAAGTATGGCTGTTTTTCTTCCAGATGAAGTTCTTTATCCGTTTTCTACTTATAATTTTACTTTTAATCTATGTTGTTTTATTATTATTGCGTGGCGTATCTTTCTTGGTGCCATATTGTACCAAGCGTTTCCTGCGCTTAAATAAATAAATAATAAAAATAGCAGAGAAGCAACCTCTTCTGATTGGTTGTTTTCTTGATATAAGTATAAAAACTTGGGCACTGTGGTAGAGCATAACTCCATTAAGGATAAGATTTCATTTTTACATATCACACAGTGTTGTACAGTTGTAATATTAACTGTGCTCTAAGCGTCATCAGTTAATATCACACTATACAACACTGTGTGATTTATCAAAATAAAGTCTTATCCATAATGGTCGTTTTCTTGTTGAAGGTTATTCTGTCATTTCTTTGTTGCCGTTTTTATAAAAAGTCAGGCCATATATCTGCAAATCGTATTTGCACACGTGATTGGTTGGTGAGTTCCTCAAGCTTAATCTTTGTTATTGGTTTTTTTTCTCATGACGCTGATTCAGGACGTGAACATTGACATAATTGTTGTCTACAATTTCGGCTAGCAGACAGCTATCACCAGAATGTGAGTGAAAGATTTGTGTTGCAATGATTCTTCCGTGTTTTCCTTATCCGATTAGTGACCTAGCTGTCTACCCTTCAAACTTTGAAAACAGAAAGTAGTCACACCTACTGTGAGACTGAACAAACGATTTTTCGTAGTAAACAAGAACCGTACAAATCTCAGCACCTTCAAACAAAACTTTAAATACACGTTTTCTGCATTTTCCTGTTACACTACGTCAATAAGCAATACAGTTTCTCGATGTGCTGTCACGAAGTACTAGCCACTTCCACACCTCTGACAGACTAAGTGGCATTTTTTTGGTTTTCTGACTAGAGAAATAAGGTGGAAGCACTTCGATCTCTCATCATCCATAGCCTAAAGTGGCAGACAAAAAAAAGGCAAACTGCCTTTGATCACAGGTTTCTGTGTCATATCCCTCTCGTGTTAAGTTGAATAATAAAGTGCGCAATATTGAGGTTAGATGTCGAGTACAAGGAAATGAATGGAAATCAATCAATTCGATGTCGGTATTCTCGTCATATATGATGAAGGTATCATCCACGTGTCTTTAGTACGAATGGAATCTATCGATATTAGACCGTAACATATTATTCTGCAAACTTGCCAAGAAGCAATCTGTAAGTAAAAGACCCAGTGGTGACCCCATCACCACTCCATCTCTTTGTCTATAAAGCGTGTTGCTGAACTTGAATTGGACATTTAAAGTGCACCTCATTAGTAGTTCTTCCTTCAAGTAGTGGATGGGAACACAGATACACGTCTAGATTATTATCTTCAATGAATTCGCACATAGAGCAAATAGTTTCAGTGAGAGGAACATTGGTGAAAAGGGACGTAACATCCATGGATATTATTTTCCTCCCGGATACATTAGTATCACTTATTGAATCGACAAATCCAAATGAATCAGAAACACTGGGAATGTCGAGATTATTTCCGATAGGTAGGAGGACGTCTGCAAGCCACTTGGAAGTAGCATGATATGGGGAATTTGCCATATCCAAGATTGGACGTAGTGGCACGTTCCCCTTATGCACTTTCGGTAGACCACAGGAACGGGAAATCACGGAACATGAGGGTCGTATTTCCTCAAATATTTCAGAGCTGATATTCGATTCGTTCTTCATCTTATTCAGCATGTATATGCTATCTTTCTTTCAAATTGTTCTGTTTGGTCTTTCTGGTTACTTTCTTTTGAAAATTTGTTTTCATCTGACATGACAGATAGCATTTTATCGAAGTAGTCTTGGTGGTTCGTCAGGACAATACCAGCGCCTTGATCGGGCGGGCCAGAACTAAGTCTTTATTCCTTAAAATCTCACGTAGTTGCTTTTTGTGCTCGGCTGAAATCAATATTCAGATATTTGGTTTTGTATTGATATCCTGATGGCAGCTACTCAATACTGTAGACTTGAATTGTTCATATGATTGATATGTTGGACACTGAGAGAAGGTCATTTGTCTTATGGATCAGTGCTTCAAACCGGATTTTAATATCCAAGTCACTCGAATTTGTCGAAATACCACAGAATTTTGGACCGAAAGACAAGGCTTTTCATTGGATAGCAGTTAATGAGGAGTAGTTGGAAACGTATTCCTCTGGTATGACAGGAAAACGTGAATAAGTGTCAGTGGCTTTGAGACTATTTGCGAGTTTCATGTTTATATCTTCACAACATCTTGAAACTGAATCGATGTAGCCCATAAAATTGCTCTGCTCGTCTTCTGTCAGTCTAAATAGAGCATGTATTCTTAGTGAAATGTTCCTTTCTATCTGTAGTAGTCGGGATTTTATTCCATCGATCACACTCAGTGTATGACGTTTCAAAGAGCGATGATTTCGGTGGAGATGATTCCGACGAAGACATTTCCAGTAGTGCTTGGGATATTCTTTCTTCATCGATAATCCCCACATCCAGGGATTAATGAAAACAAAACACGTAGTTCAACGAAGAGTCTCTTTTCAGCGGCGAATTCATTCTCTTACCTGTACAATCGCAAATATATATATATATATATATATATATATATATATAAATGTTATTTTGCAGGTATGTGTAAATTGAGTTTGTCAAACAAAAATACAATTGGTTATGGTTATTTTAACTAAACAGGTAAAGATTGGTAATTGGAATCACGTAATACAAAATCAGTCAAGAAAATTAGGTGTTTATGAAATTAAGGTAGCAACAGAAGTGATGAGTTGTCACAATCAGTTGTTAAAAGAAGTTACGTAATAGATATGAATACTTTGATGATTCCGTTTTACTCAGGATGCACATAGAAACAAAGTTGAGAATACAAAATTACGCAAGAGATCTAAACGAATAAAAGAATTATAGGCAACTAAGAAATTATGAGCAATTAAAGAACAGGCAAACAAACGAAATCAAGCCATCAAAATCAACAAAGTTGTTACCATGACAGTAGAAGTGGTTGAGTAATTCTCTTTTGTATGCATAGCTCCGGTCTTTCTATGTGAATGGCCAGAGCTTCACCGATACAAAGAAGACGAAACCATATTGCCTTTGGTAGGTTATTCTTGACTCTGTAGATTACTTTGAAGTAGGAGTTTGTTCAGATGGAATGGTCAGTGCTAACCAGGTGTTCAATTATCGCACTCCTTATTGCACCACTATTGCCTTTTCGCAACCAGGCTGGATAGTGAGTGTTCTTGAATTCTCTTGGACAGGGTGCCCGTCAAACGACCAATGTACCTGACTCCACAGCATCAGGTGAATTGATATATGCACATAGAAGTGGTCAAATGCAGACTCTTATCCTGGAGGCTTCTGCAGATCAGTGAGCGACTGGAGAACACTATTCATAGCCTTGCTGCAAGGAATGTTCTTTTCAGGGATGATGTGATCCTTCTCCTAAGAATAATACTCGTTAAATCTCCCTTGAAATCCAAGTTCATGTAGAGTTTCTTTTTAGGTGCATGTGGAGTTTCATTTCTCCAAATTCTTGGTTTGATATTTTTGTCAATGAATCTTATTGGGTATCGATTTTAGATGAAGATTTCTCTCAGAATATCTAATTCTGTTTCTATGACATCGGAACTACAGATGCATCGGATGTGGGTGACAAGTGATTTAATTAAATTCCGCTATTGTTGAATGGGTACCCACCCAGCTATAGAAGCTTGTTAGTTGACCATTCCAAGTAGCTTTTCTATGGATCGATCTTCTTAGGCTTAAGAAGAAGAAGGTGTTTTGCTTTGCCTTTGGTCTACGCGGAACGAATACTATAGAAGTTGTTGGTATTAGATCTTGCGTTAGTATACTCCG